TATTCTGAAAATTGGATAATTATAGGAATTATTTTTGTCATTAAATAAAAATTCTTTCCCAATAATGAAAACAAAATCTACTCCAACACTAATGAAAACACTCCCAAATCTGTGTAAGAAGTATTTTCTTTAATTTTTTTTATTTTTTATTTTTTTATTCTTTTAATTTTCAAAAGGTCTAATGGAATTTAGGTCATTCCTGAATAACAGGTTGTGATTGATTTAGGACATCTTCTCAAATGAAAGTTAGCACCTCTTTCATAGACTATTAGGTTATGCTCAATCTTATTGACAACTGTTTTTGTAGAGAGATGGATGTGTGGTAGAACAAGGTATYAGTGTTTAAAATGGTAGATGACTTGGTACCATTGTGAGGGAGCTTCCATTTTCTCTGTCCTGTCTCTGCAGTCATAAATCTTCAAATGATAAAAACTGGTGAGTTAAAATTGTAACACATTATGCAAAAGAGAATGTTTTCTCCATAATATTGTCAACAAGAATGTTATCACTGGGAACCAATAATCTCACCAAAGAGATGGTTTGGAGACAAAGTGGAATTGGCAACTGAAGCATATTTCCTAATCTTAACTTTCTATTTGTGAAACTAGAGCTTAAGTGTGTGCAAGGATATGGAGACTTCTATATGGGAGAACAGTTCTCTGAACACCAAGCTCCATATACCAGGAGTGAATTTGCTTTGTTGGAAGTAAAGTCTTTAGAAATGCCACTTTTCCGGGCTGGGGTTATGGCTCAGTGGTAGAGTGCTCACCTAGCACATGTGAAGCTCTGGGCTCAATCCTCAGCACCACATAAAAATAAGTAAATAAAATAAAGGTATTGTGTCCAACTGCAACTAAAAAATAAATGTTAAAAAAAGAAATGCYACTCTTCAAAATAGCATAGCATTGTTTGTTATATTGGGTGTTTGGACTGATTCTCGCTCTAAAGTTTCTTTGTAATTCAAATCTAACAAAAGAGTGGGAGTGGATGCTAAAGAGAGCATGTTACAACATTTCTCTCAGAGCAAAAGGGATCACTGGAACCCTTCCAACACCAAAAGTTGATCTAACCTAAAAATAACACATGAATAGTTGCCATGTCTGTAATGTGAGCAAACATTGGTGAATAGAATATTAAGCTCAGTCCTTCCTCCCTACTTGCTCTCCTCTCCTCTTCACTTCTCTTTTCTTTTCCCTTACCTTCCCTCCCTTTTATTCAGTGAATAGTAGATAGGAAAATACTATGGTTAGGCTTTCAATTTGACCTCAAAGACTGGAAGTAGCTACTGGCTCATTGTTTCATTGGTTATGTTGGCAAATAATTATGAGTGAAAGTTTGTTACTAAATGGATTGAATTGTGAGTTACCTGGTTATATAATTCTAAATAGTGAATATTATCATTGGAAAATAACTCATGTAACAAGTGCACTAGCACTTTGGATTTCTGTAATCACAGAATAATTCTGTGATATTTCCCGTGTATTTGCAGATTGGTATGATTCAGATTGGTTTTATCCATATTTAGTGAAAATTTACTTTCAGCATTAATGGATGAAACTAGGGTTTCTTCTTGTCATTCCTATTTATATTTTCTTAATTTTCTAATCAGAAATATCTCAATTTTAGCTCCTTTTCTCATCTCCCCATATCTTTTATAGTTTTCCCAATCTTTCCATCTTCCCATATTTGTGCTGTTTTCTATCACCTAACTTTGAACTGAATTTATTTCAGTAATTGTGTAATATTTTAGTTTTGATTAATTGAATGTTTGAAAATGTATAATTTGCTATTCAAAGAAATTAATACATGTTAAACAGAAAAATTAGAAAACATTAATTTCTATAATTCCAGAAATCACATGTAAGTTTAAAAATAAACAACTTGGTATATTTACCTATTCTTTCATTAAAAAAATAGATTTGTTCATTCAAAAACCACAGGCAAATTTAAAGGCCTGCATATGCACTGCTAATTTACCCTGAAGAAAATTGTTCCCAAGTGCACATACATATCAATTGTGCAAGTACTTATTTCACTAATACTTGGTCACTTTTCTCCCCTTTTTAAAGTAAATTTGAACTGTGGAAAATATTAATTTTGTACCTTAAATTGTGTTTCTTTTGTTATAAAGTTGAAGACATGTTGAAATTTTCATAAGTATAGGTCATTTGTATACCTATTTGTGAATTTTGTTTTGTTTTCCTTTACCCACACTTTTTTTTTGCTTTGGTTACATTTTATTTATTTTTTTAAAAAAAATCTGTGTGTATCTAGAATTTTTGTCTTTTATTTTTTCCTCTTGGAATCTTGTCTCTCCTGATAACCTTTTTCTGACTTTATCTTTCTCCTTCATTTTCTTCATCTAAAAGTTTTTTTAAAGATTTCCTTTAAGCATCTTTACCCATTGTTCTCCATCCTTCTGAATCCAAATGCTTTGAAAAACCCAGAAATTTAATGGGAAGGCAGCAAAGGAAAGATGTTTTTAAGACCATTTTCCCCACTTCTATCTCTTGCTACTATTTTGTAGCTTGGTTTATTATCTAAGACTGCATATTGTATTTCYGCATACACTTGTATTTGCACCCACAACATGTCTATGACACACATGTGTAGTGGGCGTGGCATACACATTATAATAGACTAGAGAGTTGGTATACTCAGGTGACTTTGTGTTTCAGAATGATTCACGTATTTATTTCTTCTTTTTTTCCATCTCCCATTAATTTAGAAGGACTGAACAACACAGAAATTTCCAGTGCTCTGCCTCCAACTATCCCCTTACTGACTTCCACCACTACCCCCTCACTCGCAAGCATCTCTGAAAGAGAAAATGACTCATCAGAGACCACATCTTCTCCTAGTCCAGGTGATCCTTCAGCCAAGTCTCCCCGGATCCTTTGGATGATGCTAATGTTTTTGCTATGACAGGTTGACATAAACATGTTCATAACTGAAATATATTAGGAAAACCTTATCTGTTTAAAAATATTCTAAAGTAATCAAACAGCTTTTTTTATGTGTGCAGTTTCTAAGGATGTATTTTATTCAAGTACATAAAGTGTGGGAAATATTAAGTGTCTATAAAATATTGATTGACTAATGTCATGCATATGTGCCATTAGGAAGAGGGAAAGGGAGGGAGGAAAGGCCCCAAGTAAAACCAGGAGGGGGAAGTTTTTCCAGTGTCTTCCATCTCCACATTCAGCATCATTCTCTCCACTCACTCAGGTTTGCTGCAGCCCAGGACACATTGGAACTCCTTATCAGAGCTAAAGTAGAATCTTCCCACTCCTTTGTTCCATTCCATGTTCATATCATCAGAAAATTATTGAACATAGACAATTTAGTTTTTRAAAATTTACTCTGAGGATTGTTACCTCAGTTTTGTTATGTGGGTTTCTCCCAAAGATATTTGCATTATTTAAAATTTATTTTAATTAACCCGAGTTGTAAGATCTGATAGTGTAATTTAAGGCAAAATATCATGGCAAAATATCAGATTGATGTGAGACGTACTTTTGCTCCTTAGAACATTCACATATCAATGATTCCATCTCACTTGATGGTCAATATTAAGTCTGCTAGTATATTCAGTACATAAGTCTACCAACAGGACAGTTGCCCATGTATTTCTGAAACAATGTGCTAGATGTCATTTTCTTAAGCAAACTGGTTTGTAGACATAATCTGATAAGAGACGAAACTATGTGACTGCTTAGTAATAATGCCATTTATCTTAATTTGTGAAACAATATAACACAGTCACAGAAACTTTGTTTAGAGTATGTTGCAGTGTTTTGAGTACAAATACTGATGAAATATATTAATAAGTCATTAAATAAACGGATAATGTCTTCTTCAGMAATTACTGGCTGATATTTAATCTTTTCCTCCTGCCACCAATAGCAGAGAGGTGGCTAGAACCTATTGAAACATCTGAACTCATTGCCTGAAGTTTCTACAAAAGCAATGTGAGAATGGAGTTGCTGATGCTAGGTGGAACATTTCATTATAAGTTGTTATTTTGAGCCATGTCACAGAGAGTCTGCCATATTAAAGGTTCCATGTTTTACTTCACATACACACTAAAAGTCACACATTTGAAACATTTCTGACTCTTTATTCCCACTTACTATCTTTTTTACCTGAACAAAGTACAGTCATAGATTTGCAGAGAGAGCATATAAAAAAAAAGATTTAAAATTGAAATAATTGGAAACAAGGATACATAATCTTAAAATACTAATTTATTTTGGCAGTATTAATTTGATGGCAAATTTTGCTTGGAAAAGTGTCTTCTGCTTTCTAATAAAAGGACACATTTTATTATATAGAAAACAAACTTGCCATTGGGTGATATTTCAGTTATCTGCTACAACAAATTCAATATACACTATTTGATTTATGGTTATGATTGATTTATATTTTAGAATGCAGCCAATTTTTTCTTGCTACTGATAAACTCAAGGAAAAATCCTTTAGTTCACTCTTCTAATGATATAATATGCACCATTCAAAATAGTTGCAATGTACACGAACTATGGTTACCTGAGTGTGTATGTGCACATGTGTATATAAGCAAACACTTGTTTAACTGGTTCTACCCTTCTCCTAGCAATAAATATTATCAATCAAGAGACATTAGTTTATTAGAGGAGCCCATTCTTATTCTGCCCACAAGGAAATGTTCCAGCATTCAGTTTGTAGTTGAAGGAGAATTTGAAATGATCATAGAAAGTTGAAAGTCACATAAGCAATCTGGAAACGTGAATCCTCTAAGGCTTGTTCTAGCTAAAGGAGCCCCCAGGAATCTGGGGACTGGGAACACAGGTGCCATCTTCCTGCCAGGTGAGCTTCAAAATTGGCAGGCACATTTTAATAGATTGGGTCACTTCACAGTTTGGTAACTGTAATGACAACTTGCTCCTTTTTAGTCTCAGTGTTTGGATTTTCTCCTGCAGTGGAGAAGACTGATGGAATGATCTCATTTTCTTGCCTAGGTGATCCAGTCTCACAGACGCCTGCCCCACCCACGCACACCAACTCGCAGGCGCCCTCTTCTGGAGGAACTGACCCGCAGACACTCAGCAGCACCGCTGTGCTTACCACACTCACGGCTACTCTGAGCAGGCCTGATCCTTCAGGTTTGCGGGTCTTTTAGACTTGTACAAATATGAGGAGTACACGACAACTTCCYGTATTAAAGAAGGGTGTGAAAAAATCCAGCCACTTGTTCAATGTATAGCACTTGCTCGTTGATATAGTTGGAATTTCGTAATTACCCTTAGGATATGAAACCACATAACAGGACATTCTAACAGCTATGAAATAATAAAGAATGCAGATTGAGGCTACAGCAAAAAGGGCTGGGGAAGAGCCAGTTATTCATGATATTCTGTGTTTCTTTCTATTTTAGGCAGTTATTGTACAGTGAAACCTTGTTGCTAGTAATAAAGAATAATGAGTCTTTAAAACCTCAAATTCACAAACAATCATGAAGAACAGGTGATTGCTTGTTATTRATGAAAGGCACTAAAGAATGAAATTATATTTAAAAATTGAAAAAAAAGAAATACCTGCTTGTATTTTTCGACCAATTGTCCAGATTCTTTCATATTAAGCATCTTTGTATTCATAACAACACAAAGTATTCTTGACCTATCTTTCCAAAAGTAGTTGTCTAAATCCTATCATGGTGCCATTTTTTTTTTTTTTTTTTGGTCCCACAGATAAAACAATCATGTCCCTTCTCAGGTCATAAGTCCACACATTCACATATGTAAATTGAGTGGCCTGAGTACTTGGATGTTAAAGAAATAACATCCAAGTACACCTGGTAGTAGAGTAGTGCTTCCTGGTACAATTCAAACATGGAAGTTAAGCACATAAACAACATAATTATTTATTTTGAAGGATAAATGCTGTCTTCTTGGCATGAAAATATTACAAGAAACCTACACATTTTAAAAAACTAGAAGAACTGTCCCCGCCTCCAGCCACATTCCACTTATGCCAGCTGCCAAGGGAACCACAATAGACTATTTGGTGCTTTCAGGAAATTCATAGACTCAGAAGTTGTAGAGGGGAAGAAATTGTAAAGTAACCAAAGAAAACTGACCCCTGGAGACTGGTTGTCACACAAACTCGTCTACTCTGCCTTCATCAAAGAATCCTTCTTCTCATGGTGGCTAAATCCACTAATTAAAGATCTATTTTGAGGACTCAACCCGGTTAACTTGTAAATGCCATGCCTAAACTATGGCTGAGATTACCTACCTAAGGAGGGAAATGTGGCTTCCAATTGAGGAGGTAAAGCAGGGAATCTGGAGAATTGAAAACAGGGGGACCTCAGGACCGCATGGRGACAGGGGTTGCATGGRAGGAAAGAAGAGGCARGTGAGAGAAGAGCAGGAAGGAAGGTGGAAGAAGGCTAGAGACAAACCTGGCTGCTTTCAAACTTTGCAGACTGCCAGTTCTAAGTCTAAATGAATTTTAAAAGTATAAATAAATAAACTTTCCTACTCCTCTGCAGCCCTTTTTGGGATCAAGAACTGATGAATTGATGTTTATTCATTCTCTTTGGTGGCTTTAGTTAAATGTGGGYGTTTTGTAGACTCAACTAAGAACTTAAACTCAATTAGGAGGAAGATGTATTTCCAATTCCAAAAGAAGGAATGTGTTAAATTAGGGGCTGCAATCTATTAGCAATTGGAAGATGCCTGGATATGCACATTAAAGCCATTTGCAGAACGTGCATATGTGTATCACAGCCGAAATGCAGAGTCTCACTGCAAAGGGGCAAAATTTCATATCATTGAACTGATGACCCCAGGTATCCTCACTGAAATAACCAAACAAGCTCTGGAATAGGGAATAGCTCMTGTTTCCTTTTTGCTTTTCCCATGATGACTACCATAGCACTAGTCACACTGCAGTTCAGGATGTGATGTCTGSGGGAAGATTATAATGTACATTAAGTTCTTTGAAGCCTGACAAGGAAAAATCTTAACTGAGCACAATGTGAATCTTCTATAACACTAGATTCTATACTTATTATCTCATCAATTATTAGAAAATAAGGGAATTATTTCAGTATAATGTACCRATACTGTGTATTGKGTCCAAACCAATTTGATATTTTTCTGGTAAGGGAATTTACCCAGTGAAAGTAAAAGTGTAACCTTCAGCCAGAAAGAACTCTGAGCTCAGCTACTGAATAGGCAGGAGCCCATTGTTTCTATTTTAAGAAAATTAAAACTGAGCACCTGCACACAGAGATCCTTCCCTAGAGAGGTGCACTCATGCGAGGTTCTCAGCAGGTGCCAGGCCCTACTTCCTCCTGTGTCATCCTTAACACAGTCTTTTATATGCAGAGTTTCAYTTTAGTCTTCATGTTATCTGCATCACCAAGATAGCATCCCTCTCTGCTGCTCTAATATATTTTCAATATTGCCTAAAGCAACTCTCAGCTAAAAAGCTTGRTCTCCCTGTGCTGTCCAAGCTACTTCCTGGGACTCCAAATATTTTTTAATTTGTAGTCTGATTACAAAGCTGCATAGGTTTCCAGTTGTCTGCCCCTAAGATTCATGTTTCCCACAAGCCCACATGCTTTTAGCACAGTTTTGCAGAAATGCATATATTGTAATACAGCAGTTATGCCTGATGCTCCTGCTCTGCCTTAGCTTCAGTAATCATATTTATGTGGGTTGTCTAACTACTGCCCTTTTGTGATAGGATCAAGTGACAGTGCTGATGGCCCTTCTGATTGCAGGTGTCCCTGATGGGAGGAGACTAGTCAGCACCATTCCTGCAGACACAGCCTTCACTCCAGCAGTCACCCGCAYACCTGCATACAACAGYTCTGCTGTCTTACCTGCACACACCWCCAACATCAGCACCACAGAGWACTMCTCAGGTTTGCCTATGATGTTGCAGGTGCTTTAGGCTMCGGATAATGAAATAGAAACTAGAAACTGGAATGCATCTCTTGTATCACTCCAAATATTATTTGCAGGCTTCCTGATTTATAGAATTTTACATCTTGATACTAAATTAAGCACAARAAACTTACCAGTAAGCTTTCTCTGGACATGTTTTTATTACTAAGATTATAAAGGTTTGTGGTAAAAAAAAAGAATAGATAATGAATGAGCTTTCATGTCATCTAGCCCTGGGATCAAATTCAGCTTTTTCATTTTTCTAGCTGATTTTAGGACCAGTTGCTAGTATTTTCTGAATATTGATTCTCCCTTCTGTAAAAATGGATATAATAATACT